CAAGATATGAAAGATCAAGGGGCTAATATTGGGAAAAAAAAATGAAACTAAAAGTAATCGTACCAGAAATAGGATTTGGATCCTCTCCACTACAAATAAAATAGTGGAGAGACCACTATTTTTAATCTCAATCGTTGATTATTTAGTAGACGGTTATGATATAATATAAATCTAACAAATATTTAAGATGAAAGCTAGTCGTGTATTATTCACAGAAAAAAGAGTTGTGGGCCCGTGGAAGAGAACGACTAAGTGACTAAGTTATGAGTACATGGATGAAAAATATTAAGTGCCGCAGCTAACTAATTAGCTAATATTATATTTTCTCGATCATCCCCAGTTAACAAGAAAGACTTCTTGTTTTTTCACGGACTATATCTTTTAGGGTACGAAGTCAAATAGTGAAGTCCCTGGGGAAATCATTTTTTAGGCGTTGTCGGTTTGCATTTCGGCCAAAAATGTAAGGATTTTCATGATGATTATCATTTCAAGTCATTCTAGGCCCCCATGTTTCTCTTTAATTATTTGGAACTGTGGCAATTTGTGATGGATTTTTATTTAATGTTTTCATTTTTAACTTCCTTAATTTGCATTTAATACTAAAATTGTGAAATGAGGTCACTGTCATATTTTACCACTTTTTGAGTGATGTAGGCTGTAGCAAGTTAATTGTATTTTGGCCTCCTTGAAAGAAAAATCCAGTCTTCGCTACTCTAATTTTATGGATTTGTAGTACAGAGAATAAAGTTTTTTTTGCACAAACGTGAAATGCAACCATAACTAAAATCATAAGTTGTGAAAAAACTTTCCAGCCAACTCCAAAAATGTCCGGGGTTATCTCAAAATAGATTCAGAGAGAAAGAAATGCAAAGTTTCCTTAAGGTTAAGTGACTTTTCTAAAATTTTCGGGAATATCACAAAAGGTCAAACTTATTTAACTTGAATATTTGCTGCAACCGTGCTTTTTGGCTCGCCTTTAACGCGCGGCACTCGCACATGTAAAGGGGTGGCCCCACTGACCAGTGTGGACACGCCTCTGTTTCAGAGCGACGTTGGCTCGCGCAGTTAAAACGCGGACCAAAATTTTTTCCTATTGCTGGTGCTTCTACTAGAGTATCCTGTTATAGTAGTTCAGATGTTAGCAGGGCTGTCCGATAAATCTACAATTATTTTTTCATATCATTTATTCTTTATTTCATAATTTTTTATATTTATAAATTACATAAATTAAATGATTAATAATATAATTTTTTATCAAAATTATGTTATTTTTTGTTATGTTTCTTGAAACAAAAAAAATAAAAACAAAGAAACCGGCCCGGAGGCCCTGCCGGTTTTGCCGGTCCGGCTCCGGTTATTGAAGCCTTTCCACGGTCAACATCGAGTGCCTTATTAGTTGTTGCCGCTACTAAAAAGTCCAACAGGCGAACGACTACAACTGCGTGGTAGTCAATGTTGCTAGGGGCATAGCCTACGTTGCTAGTTGGGGGGAGGCCCTCGAAAATATTTGAGCCCCCAAAACTAAGATCCCGAGCTTTTGGAATGGGAATGGGCGGGGAAACTGCATTTTTTACTATTAAAGAAATGTTGCGGCGCTAATAGTTAGGTATTGGTTGTTGTGGAAAACAATTCACGATCCTTTTGTTGAAGCGGTGATCGATCTTGGGTTGATTGTAGAATTATGCGGACTAATATTATTAGTTTATCTTTGCGGGCCTCATATTTAAATATTTTTTTATATAATTTAATAATTAATATCATTCATTAAGCCTGTTATGGTGTTCTCAATCACCTAAGCGCAACTCTTTGTAAACAACAGACGGGTGCACTTCCGCATGCGTTGCCCCCAATTAAACTGGCGGCCGAGAACAACAGGGATTCCGACCTAGCCGGCTCGTCGTGTCGACGTTTCTTCATGTCGACTCCAAGGGCGGTGTTTGGTGGAAAATTTATAGTAAGTAAAATAAAAAAATTTTGATTTGTATTCTCTCGATCTTAATTACAATTTGAATTCCGATTACAAAAGAGAGGAGAATTGATCTGGATTCTCCCCTTTGTTTAATTCTGGGTTTTTCACGGTGGTGATGGAGTGCCTCCCTCGAATGCTCGCGTCGAGTTTGCTCTCCGTTGACGATCCGAACGTCTTGTTTCACTGGAACATGATCTTCTCCTCACGATTTGATGCTGAGGAGGACTTGCGTGGCAAGTTGGAAACTCTGAACGAGTTGATAACTCAAAGCGAGTTGGATCTCTTCTTTGCTGCCCCAGAGAAGGATCAGAGCCCTTTGCTGATCTCTAGATCTAAAAAATGCTCAATGATCCAAAGATCTCTCTTGATCTGCCCAAGCCGAAGAGCCCCAGCCGAAGAGATCCGAACTAAGCTGATTTCTTAGTTATTTATAGGTGATTAGTAGGTGCAACCGCCCCCTTAATTCGCTCATAAGTGGGTCTTATGGGATGTAACCGCCTCCTTAAATCACTCCTGAGTGGAGTTGTGATCCTCTCAAATCGTGGGAAACGGTTTTGAAACCGTTCAGCTGGTGTTTGAACGAGTCAAACACAAAATCCACATTCTGGCGTGATTTCTGCGTTCAAACGCAGTGTCTGGAAGATTGAACGCAGCGTTTGGAAGCTCGGACGTATCGTCAGGGAGCTTATTTGCAGCAATTGGAAGCTGCGTTGGCAGCTTGTTAGAAGCTGCGTTGGCAGGATTTAAGAGCTGCGTATAGAAGTTGCGTTGGCAGCTTTGGAGGGTGCGTTTGCGGCCGAACATGAGCTACGTTGGCAGGTGGGTCTGAGCTGCGTTTGGAGCTGAATGTGAGCTACGTTTGCACTGCGTCAGCAGCTGTGAACACGATGCGTCTTGATGCTTGTACGCGGGGAGGACTTCCGCGTCTTGATTTGAAGAGACCGTCGATTTGTAGTCTCTTTCTGTCAAAGCGTTGCAAAGATCGTCATTTTGTAATCTTTGCTTTAGCTCTTTGATATGTGAGAGTTGTCAGATTGTAACTCCCGATATTGATTGTGAAGGCTGTTGATTGGAGCCTTCATCAGTTGTTGTGAAGGTCGTCTGATTGTAACATTTATCGATCTACGTGAAAGTCTTCAAATTGTAGTCTTCTGGAAGCCGTCGAATTGTAACTTTCATCATCGGTGTTTTATGGGGATCAGTTATCTGCAGTGATTTTTAGACAGCCTACAGGCGGTACTAGTCGACCCTCTTGTCGAAGACGACTCACAGCGAGTCCAGTCGATTAGCTATTCAACGCCTCGCGTGGTCTACTCGAATGGCATTACTTCTCGGCGAAGTTAGAGGACAACTTCAGCCTCAAGCCTCTCCCACTAACAAACGTGTAAGCTTCACATTTAATGCCTGACAAGCGTCATCATACCTCTACCCCCAATAGTCTTCATGACTCATCGGACCACGTCGGCACAGCCATACCTCCGATCACTTCCCATTTAATGCTGATGTGATCTTTCCTCCAGTACTCGTCAGCTGATACCTGTAAAGCGAGGGCCGACTCAGCCGCCAGCCCACATTTTTTTACCTCCATCCCGTGCTCAGCCACAATGACGGTTCTACCATTTCGGCATCACTATAAATACGAGGTACTATTCTAACAAAAAGGTTTCTTCGGAAAAGTGTTCACAAACCTGACCTAAAGATTCAGCTTCTGCAATTTATACTGCATACACACAAGAACTCACAGCTCTTCATTCTCCCCACTCAAGTTCACGGGCTGACGTGATCGTCGGAGGAACCACGGGGGAACCAGTCCCCGTCCTCTCACTAGTTGTTATATATATGTGTAGACTTCTCAGCAACTCGGCTCAGGACTGGATATTCGGAGAAGGAAGCTGCTTCTCATCAACTTTACCCCCATCCAACCACGGATATTACTGACCGTGCGATCAATTAACATCAACAGAGCCCCGCAGAGTGAACAGATCTTATATGCGCGTTGTAATGCTTCAAAAAACATCTCACTCTTGAAAGAAGTACCATCATCTCAATCTTAAACTAACATTTACAGGAAAAGAGTTCGAAAATTTCCGAAAATGGACCAGACGGAAAAGCGATGAACCCGGATATGGTTCCCAATCAATTTGAGGACAACACGAGGATTCATACGCATTCCGGCCCCACAAAACAACCAACCACTCGGAAAAAGAAGACGCCATAAATACACCAATTTCGGCAGTAAAATAGAAAAGACCCCGGCCCACACTTTCTGATCACATTAACAAGTCTCCATCAACCCCCAGTGGGGATTAAAGCACAAACCGAGCTCGCAGAGGCTGGAGCGTAAAAATGAGCAAGATATCGATGGGATGATCAGCATCATGTGCCGGATCTCGCCTCGTTTTCCTCGTAATATATATTTGATCATCATTTTTATTTTTAATCGATCCGTCCACCAATCATCAACTTGCAGCAAATGTAATGGTACTATAATATTAAACTAAAAAAAGTCATCAAGTCACATATTTGCTCGCACGTCGCTTATTTAATTAATTTATAATAATAATTAATAAACATATAATACCGATCCACTTTTGTTATTATAACTACTACTACTACTGCTAGTACACAACAAAGGGCCCAGAGCTAAAAAAGCCTCGCTGCTTCGTTCATCGGCCTTTTGATCTCTCTCTCTCTCTCTCTTACCCCTAGCTCGATCCCTCAAAGTTCTCTGTACGGATCCAGATCCGAAGATACGCGCTCCGAAAAAAAATTGATGCTGAAAACCCTGATCATGAGATCCGGTGCCGACGTGGATCCCAACCCGAACCCGAAATCCGCACGCCTCCTCTCTCCTGCCCCGCCTTCTTCTCCTCCTCCTTGTAAGCGGAGGTACGTGGCCTGGTCTGCTGTTCGGCCTTCTTCTTAAAGTGTACCCCCCTTAACGATTTAGTTAGTTAGTTAGTTAATTAGTTCGTGTTCTCTGCAGTCGGCGGTCGGTTCAGAAGCGGGTGGTGT